TAAAATTATTTACGTCTTATATTTCCTATAAATAACAAGAGAAAACAAGCAAAAATTATTAAGTTTCGACTGTCTATAGTTGAAGCAAGGTGCCCACCTGTCTGAGGATTTTTAAGGTTTTTCTTGTGATTTTCTCGATATTATAGTCAGTATAATTCCGCGGTAACAAAAATAATTTTTACATCAGCTTATAGAGCAACAGTTTCTCTTTAAATTCCCTAAATTTCAAGGAAATTGGAGTTTTCCCGGATACGGAAAATTAATTTTCAAAAAGTGTACCAATTTAGAATTTTTTGGATCGCAAAAGAAGGCGATTTTTACACGTCTGTCTTGACATTGAAACATCATTTCAAAAATTGTAAAATGGACCCACGTTCTTTATAAACATCTTATAAACACGTTTAAAAACGAAAGGTGAGGTTTCATGAGACGCCAATTGAGAAAAACGAAATTTTCCAGAGGCCGTGACTGACAATTTTTTTTGCTAATTTCGCGAATCTCGGGTATGTGTCAGGCTTTGATAATTTACGGCGTTTAAAATAATATTTCAGAAACCAAACCCCACCACGTTTCTGAGTACACATTAGAGTCTCACTGGAAAAAATAAGAAGATTTTTTATTTTTCCTCATGTGCCACGTATTCTCGATTTTGGTCGGTTTTAGTGGAGATTGTCTCTTAACTTTTTTAGTATGCCCCAGTGGTGGTCTGTATACGAAACTAACGAAAGAATACAATATAAATGGAGTTTATCGGTTTATGTTTACAATATTGAAGTGTATTTCTGGTCTGCGCTGATTGGTTGTTATTAATTGACCTGTGACATCCTAATTAAATGGCGGCACGCAATCATCATAGGGATCCTTGCAGACTCTCTTTCCCCTAGAGAGCCTGCTCACAGGCTAGTAATTTGATTGACCGTATTCCACCATGCTTTAGTTCCCATGCTTTGTTTCTGGTTTTCATTATTAACAGCATTACGTTGATTAGTACGGATAAGTTCATTTATACGTTCTTGAAGAATATAATCTGGCGAGCCATTCCTAATATTCTTGTTTCTAATTTTAAGAAGGTATTTGACGAATGGAGTCATATGAGGTGGATCACAGGAAGAGACTCTTAAGCCTATCAGGACCACAGTTTACATTTTTATTTTTACACTTTTATTTTGACCATACTTTTATTTTTTATCCCATTTTGTTCATTTTTCATCCATTAAAAACATGTTAAGAAAGTGAAGAAAGTGTCAGCAGAACAGAATGCTGGCCATGTTCAATTATGTTACTATTTTATCTGGCTGGTCATGACACGCTTGATCAATGTTGTCATTGACAATTGTTGCTTGTCCATGTGTTGTAGCCTTGAAGCTGCTAACTGTACAATGTAAACCTTGCTGTTCACACTTTCTAGGATGCAGCACCTTAGCCTCCATCTCAGACATGCAAAATAGCACCTAGTTTCTTGCATAGAAATCCTGACAATTCACCATGTTCATTTGGATTAAAAAAATAAATTATATTATTATAATCATCTACCACGTTACTGTTTAACTGCTGGATTGTACAATGCAATTCACACGATGCAGGTACTGGACACTAATGCATACATGAAACAAGTCATAGTATAGTAAGTGAATATAGTAAGTGAACCCAGGCTAATTTTAGATTTCAGACAGTGGCGTTACCTTGGATGTTGCTTCACTGATTGGCATACTTGGCCAATCTGACAACCAAACACCAGACCAAGGCTTTTTCACTCAAATCAATCTGGCTCTTGCCTTGGTTTCTATTAACACTCGGTCCACAATTATCATGCTGAAATATATTTTGTCTTGTTACATTTCTACACATCCTATGTAGGGCAATTTTGTCCTGCTTCTAACAACCATGAACTAACTGTACATGATAATTGTACTATTTTAAATAATTATGCCAGCCAGACATTTAGTAACAATTATTTAAAACACAAAACAACTAATTGATCCAAAAAAATATTATATGAAATTAAATGCATTTCATTGTGATATTAACACAACGTCTACCTTTATAGAGCTTAAAAGATTACAACAATATTTCTATTTCCACCTACAGCTTATACAAAAATATATGTCAACCTTGATGTTTTCCATCTACAGATATACTACAAAAATATATGTCAGGGACCGGTCATAAAGTAAAGGGGGGGGGGGGGGGGGGG